ACACAAGCTAATGTTAGCCAAAGCTGATCTCCTGGCCAAGATAAATCCCCCAAAACTGTTAAGATTTGCTCTCAGAAGGGAAATGGCTGTTAAAGCTTCTGCAGTTAATATATTTCACATTCATATTGAATTAAATCACCATGTCCCATATGAAAACCTACAAAGAATTATTATTAAAGTGAATAAAAGCACAAACATCAAAAACAGTCATAGTGGAACTCCATGAAAAAGCTGTTCCTCTCTGGAGTCACTGCAGGTGGAAACATCGAGTCATTGTTGGATTAACATTGATCAGAGGGATACAAATAGACCTGTGAATGGATGCTTATATTGGATGCTGTCTGGGTAAGTAGGCAATTGTCTGCTAATATGTTCACCATAATGTGGTAATTATGGCTAGAAAATCAGAGCAGTGTGTCACTCTGCAGCTGTGAAAGCAACATTAAACACAGCGCACAAAGGCACAAAATGGATGGTCAAGAAATCTCATTAAGACCAAAGCCCACAATAAATGATTCATTTTGTTTGGGTGGAAACACCCGATGGATCTTATTTCCATGTGCCCAAGGCTTCATTGGAAAAACAAACAAACACTGGGCAACACAATCCTTACCATGCACACACCATCGCACATAAACCACAATCCACCAAACACTACTCATTATCTTAATGACCTTGTAGTACCATATCACCCTATTAGAGCACTTCGCTCCCGCACTGCAGGCCTACTTGTTGTTCCTAGAGTATCTAAAAGTAGAATGGGACGGAGAACCTTCAGTTTTCAGGCCCCTCTTCTGTGGAACCAGCTTTCAGTTTGGATTCAGGAGACAGACACTATCTCTACTTTTAAGATTAGGCTTAAAACTTTCCTTTTTGCTAAAGCATATAGTTAGGGCTGGACCAGGTGACCCTGAATCCTCCCTTAGTTATGCTGCAATAGATGTAGGCTGCCGGGGGATTCCCATGATGCATTGAGTTTTTCCTTTCCAGTCACCTTTCTCGCTCACTATGTATTAATAGACCTCTCTGTATTGAATCATATCTGTTATTAACCTTTGTCTCTCTTCCACAGCATGTCTTTTATCCTGTCTTCCTTCTCTCACCCCAACCGGTCGCAGCAGATGGCCCCGCCCCTCCCTGAGCCTGGTTCTGCCGGAGGTTTCTTCCTGTTAAAAGGGAGTTTTTCCTTCCCACTGTCGCCAAAGTGCTTGCTCATAGGGGGTCATATGATTGTTGGGCTTTTCTCTGTATCTATGAAGCGCCTTGAGGCGACTTTTGTTGTGATTTGGCGCTATATAAATAAAATTGAATTGAATTGAACTACTGTTGTTTGTGGTACACGCAGCTTCTCACAGTACATGGTTACCTTTATATGTTCAGCTCTGTAGCAGTCACCTCAGAAACATCAGTATGTATGTATATTTTTGTCAGAGATCACAGATGATGCCCGAAACGATTACAAAATTATATATACCAGGTAGTCAGCAAATAAACTGTATAAAGTGCTCCCTCTCTATAACGCGGTTCACCTTTTGCGGCCTCGCTCTTTTTCTGCAATTTTGCATGCATTTAGTTTTTTTGCACAGCGCATTGTGTTCTGCATCCTGATTGGCTGTAGACGACTTTTAATCAATCTCCGTGCCGTGTCTCCTGTACAGTACAGAACGCCTTCAGTTTGTCAAATTCACATAAATCTTCGATCCTAGCAGCGTGACTCTGAAGTGCTGTACTGTGTGTTTGTACGTTTTCACCCCAACAAACACAACACTGTCGACCACATGAGGGAGCCTTTGGTTTCATTCTATGACACTAGACTTATTTTTCTACGAAGGTTTGAACTTTGAGAGTTTAAACAAGAGAGAAAAGTGTGAAAATGTTCATGCCTGTCTGAGAAAAGTATATAAAGTGTGTAGTGAGGGGTTTTACTTAAAACATCTATAATAATTGTAAAATATAAAGTTAGCTACTTTGCGGATTTCACCTATCGCAGGTTATTTTTAGAACGTAACTCCCGCGATAAACGAGGGACGACTGTATAAAAGATGGAATTGGCTTCTCAAACGTCTCCACCTTCAGCTGGTGCACAATCCACACCTCACTGGACTCTTGCAGAGTTGTGGTCACGAGGTAGATGGTGCTTACCGTGCTGGTAACCCGCTAACCAGACAGTGGACACTGGAGGTGAAGGCAGCTGTTATATTGAGCAGGTTAACTACTGGCAGGTAAAAGCAGCAAAGCAGATTGGACTGTGGCAGAGGAAAACGCACAGAACAAGAAGTTCAGTCAGCTGGCAAACCATCAGATGACTCAGAAGGTTGAAGTGGCTTTCTGTTCACAGTGGATGAGATTTGCTCTGAGTTTCTCAAGGCTCTACAAGACTGCATTAAAGTCAGTGAGAAAGCCTCTGGATCCGTAGAACATTTGTCAGCGATTGGTCCACAGAATTTCCAGGTGGAGCCAGGGGGCAGAGGGCGTCTGTTTGATGGCATCAGGATCTTGTCTCTACTATTTGCAGATGATGTGATGTTTTTCTCTTCAATGAGTTTAGTCATCGAGCTTGGAGTGAGAAGAATTGTGGCTTTCTTGTGTGCAAGAAACAACAGTATGAGTGTTTCGGGGGAGTTTGACTTTTAATTAAGAAGCCACTATTGTATGAGCATCACTGTGTTTTTCCAAGTTGGATCCACACTAAGCTCTCGTGCTCTGGTGTGTATGGGAGGAAACCACAGCATGTCAGGAATACTGTGGTTTGTTCTGAGGGATTTACTGTAAATTCAAGATTTGTCTTCAGTAACTGAAAAGTGTGCTGTGTGTTAAATGGCTAAACTATGGTACAATCTGTATCACCTGCAACACACTGATTCAATGCAGATTGTGGAAGCAGGAACACTACATCTAGTATCCTACAACAATTAGGAAAAGGACACTATCACATTATATATACACAAGTATGTTAGCATACATGGTGGAGTGATTCTGGGAGTTGTTTAGTCAGCTCTCAGTGCCTGATGTGAACAGAAACTCTCCCTGCGTCTCAGATCCTGGGCTTGTTCTTTCCGTCCTCTGCCAGGGAGAGAATAGAAGTAGGCGATCACTGCCATTTGTCTGTTTGTTGGCCAAAATCTACCAAGCCAAATCTGATCAAACTTGGTAGGTAGGAGGAGCACGGGTAAATAAAGAAACCACTACATTTCTGTGTGGATCTGGACAACTTCAAAAAATAAAAAGCAAAATGAGGCTTTGGACTTGGGAGAGGAGGAACACTCTTTGCTAGCTTGAAGAGCACATATGGAACAGCACCACCAACAATGCATTTGGTGGTGATGCGTTAATTTCCCTCCATGAAGATTCATTATTCTCAATGACCTAAAGCCCCACAGGTTGAATAAACGGCTCCAAACGTGGCTAATATGAACGCTCCCTCAGGAATCCCTGATGATGTTGATGCAGCGAGGCAGTAAGAGCAAGAAGACAGACTGTATGTATCCACTAATCCACTGTAAAGGTGCCCACGGGCCGTGGCACCACAGGATTACCTCCCTGCACGGATTCCTGTCACACATGGCTGTGACAGTTCAGCCACCTCTGACGCTGGCATGAAAGGCGTGCGAGTGTCACTGTGGTGAGTTGCATTCACATGCAGGAGAAGTGTAACCACAGTGCAGGCGGATTCTGGTCGATCTGCCTACATGTGAGCGCTCGGTGCCAGGCAGCTAAATTAAGAGCATCAGTGATTAAATAAAAGGCTCCTCGCTCTGACTTTTCTCATCTCAGGATAAATGGAAACTGATGAGCACTCAGAAGTTGACACAACTCTTCTTTCTCTCTTTTCTCCGAGGCTCCTTTCCATTTCCTTCTCTACCTCCTCTCCTTTCTCTCCCCTCTTTTCTTTCTCTTCTGCCCACTTTCCACTCTCCCTTTCCCTCTTTGCTTCCTTCACACTCAGTTCCTTACTCCTCCCACTTCCTTCTCTCTTCTTTCTTGAGCCTGTCATAGTTTTCCTCATCTCTTCCTGTCTTCCAGACTTTCCTTGTCTGCTTTGCCCGGTTTTCCTCATCTTCCTGTCCCTTCTTTCCCCCCTGTTTTTTCCCTTTTCTCTGTCTTTATTTTTTCTTGCATAACTACTCTTGTTCTTCTCGCCTCTCCTCCCCTCTTCTTCCTGCCATTCATCCTTCCTTTTTCCTCTTTCCTCCACAGGCCCCTGCAGTCTTTCCTTTTCCTACACCTTCTCATTTCCTTTTCCTGTTTTGTCTGTTCATCTTTACCCTTCATTTCCCCTCTCCCCTTTCTTTTCTTTTTAACGATCCCTTATTTTCAGTTTCCTCCCAATTCCAGTGCCCCTCTTTCATCTCATCTTCATCTTCTTCTTCTTGCTCTCTCTAGCTTCATTAGTTTCCTTTTCATTCCCCATTCCTATATCTCCCCGTGTTCCCCTTTTCCCTCCTCCCACACTCTCACACTTCATCCATCGTTTCTGTCTCACTCCTTTGCTCTTTCCTTGCCTCTTCTCCTTCAAACACCTCTTCCTCTCTCTCGCTCCTGTCCAAGTCTTTCTTCTTTTCATCTCTCTCCTCCTCCTCCTCCTCTCTTCTCTATTCCAGCAGTACCGACTCAGTGAGCGGCAGCGGCGGCAGCGGCAGCAGCACCGTCACTCAGCTCAGCAATAACTCGCATGAAAGTGAGGACCTGCTTTTTTTTCTTGACTCTTTTTTTTATTTTTAAAGATTTAATCTTTTCTTTTGAGTATTTTTTTCCCTCCACTTTTCAGCCGCTGGTTGTTTTCCCAGTGCAGCAGAATGAGGGTACCATGCATCCCAAATAGGCTTTCTGTCCTCACTCCAACTAGAGCACGCAGCCATATGCTTGTCTTCGTTCCTTCAGCTCACTGGAGTTAAACAGGTCAGTCTGTAGCTTTTATATAAAATTTAAAAGTAACGACTTTAGAAGATAGGATTTTCTTAATGAAATTTCTCATGCAAACCCTTCATGTAGTGGCAGAGTGTGTTTGGGCACGACCACTGATATTAAGCTGCATGTCTCAGAGGATAATAGTGTGAAATATTCAGGATAGTTATCGTCCTGTGAGAATGACAGAAATCGATTTTTGTCAAGAGACAAATCATCTTTTCTTTTTCTTTTTTTTGAAACTTTAATATTTTGAAGTTGGTGAAGATACTTGAGGGAAATTTCTGTGTTTTCGCTGGCTTTTTTGTGACATAAAGACACATGCACTGGTCTTCAGTGAAAATGGAGATCACAACGTCAGTGGTTTAAGCAGGATGGACGTATCGGAGGCGTTGACGCCTGTAACGGCCACCACGCCGGCCACGTTGATACCAAACTCTTCTCTGGAGAATGTCAGCCAGGCGTCCTCTGGCTCGTCCAGATCTCCTCCTCTACCTCCTCACTCGCAGGTGGCGTCGGTGTTTATCGTGCTGGTGGTCACGGTCATCATCCTGGGGACTGTGGTGGGGAACGTGCTGGTCGTAGTGGCGGTGTTCACCAGTCGAGCCCTGAGGGCACCTCAGAACCTTTTCCTGGTGTCTCTGGCTTCAGCGGACATACTGGTGGCAACTCTGGTCATCCCCTTCTCCCTAGCCAATGAGGTGAGGCGACTGTTTTGTAGTTCCAAGTTCACACAGTTTTCTATGTGTTCCTGTTCCTTGTCTGTTTACAAACAAGAATTAATAGCTGTATTAGCGCCGATCAGGTCAAATCTCTGAAAGTCCAATAATTTTAGATGTTGTTCAAACTTGGTCTGGAGGTTTCTCTCCATCTCGATTCTTTTCTTGTGAAAAAATATTATTCACTGCACCAAAGCAGGGGCTCACCACAGAGCTCCTGCAACGCTGAGTCTGCCGACAGACGAGTAGACTCTGTGCAGCCCTTTCCTTTCTCAACATACTGCAGTCTACAATTATTTGATGGTTAAATGAGTTTCACTGGGAGTATCAAGGTTAAGAGAACATAATTTTCTTCATTTTCATTTGAGTATTTATGATTTCCATGATATAAAAAGCCTGAAAAATGCAATCCTATTTTTCTCTCTCCCCTGCTCATCCTTAGTGTCACCCTCAGGGCACCCTCCATTCTCCCCTCTCTCTTCACTTTCATCATCCTCTCACTCTGCGCTCACTGGCTGCTATACAGACCGACCCTCTGCAAGTACCAAGCGTACGGGACTGATCCGAGCCCCGTGAGCTTGCAGCCTCGTGCTGTTTGGTGATGAGGTACATCAGAGGCCAAACCGCATTGTTAATGCGTCCTAAGGCACGCCATGATAACAGTAAATCATGTCATCATGTTGATAAATGTTAAGGCTGAAACAAAAATCCAAACTCGTTCTTGTTTATGAAACAATATTTACAGTATGTTAAAATACGTTGGCCTGATTTAGGCGTATGACAGGTGCAATCATACGACACAGAACAGCTAATAAGGACACTGGTCTTGCAGGTACTGAGTTATTTAGTAATACATAATAACTCCTGATGGCATTCATTAGAGTACACAAAAGCTCACTTCCCTCAGAGCGGGTCACCATATAATACAGCTTAGTGCTTCTTGTGTTGCTACGTTTTCAGCTGAAGCCGCAATCAATACAAATGACTGCTTGGAGTCAGGTGTAGCTGCCAGTACAGCCCAGTACCAGTCAGACTGTGCTGTGGACTCAACTATTCTGCATCATTTGTAAGCATCCACTATTTTTTTTTAAATTAAAGTCCAGTCACCCAATAAATTTATTTAGGCAATTTATTTTTTTGGAATTAAAAAAAGCTTTTTGTCATGGTCCAAGAAAACCCAGCGTTTTGAGTTTTCCTGTCTTTTTGTCATTTTGTGATGTGATTTATGTTTAAGTGCCTAGCTTGTTCTGTTTAGCTTTGTGTCTCTTTCTGTGTGTGTTTATATTAGCTGTGAGTTCTGGTGTCTTGCTTCCCTCCTCGTGTTTCTGCCGTCATGTCTCCGTCATGTTTATCCGTGTTTCCCCAGTCATGCCTCTGTGCGTGTGTTCGCGTTACTTCCTGTTTTACTTTGGTAGTCTCCTGTCTGTGTACACCATGTTTTGTTTTGCTTCTCTTCCTCTGAAGGTACTTCGTCTCATGTGTTGTGTTTAGCTTTGCGTCCTCTGTCTCCATCTGAGTTCCCCATGTGTTTCCTGTTCCCTTGTTGTTCCCTGTCTAAGCTGTTTGTTTCCTTCTGTCCGGCGTTGCGATCTCCCTCATGGTTGTGTGAGTCGCTGTGTGTTCAGTTCATTCGATTTTCCAGTTTAGTTTTGTACAGTTTATTCGTTCAGCGGGTAAACCTGTGTTTGAGTCTCGCCTACGAGTCTGCCTTTGGGTCCTTTCCTGCCTGCAGCACACAGCCGATCACGACACTTTTCATCCCAGCATTGCAACGTGCCCTCCTACCATTGTGACAAAGTCTGTCCCATTTTCCGCTCCATTACCGCGAGATTGCATCAAATAGGAATCTCATACCCAAATAGCTCATCTGTTTGAAATGACCCTCAAAGCCTGTGATGTTCAAGAAACCTGATTGGGATCATTTGCATATCCTGCTGTAAGCAGCCATCAGAAGATGTGTACACTGTGGCTGTAAAGAGATAGACATGGTCAGCAACGATACTCAGGTGGGCTGTGGTATTTAAATGACGCACAGCTGGTAAAGAGCCAAAGTGTGCCAAGAAAATATCTCCCATCACCGCCACAAGTACCTCGAACCACTTATTCAAGGCAGGATGGATCTATGCTGTAGCATCCAGTCGAACTGAGAAGGCCAGAACTGATGGTTGTTGAATGACCTTTATTATTCCTTGCCGTGTATCAGACAACGAACCAACGTAAGAGCTAGACAAACAAATAAAACAATTACCATGTTATTTATGTAACACCATTTTAACTGCTCATTACGCTGGTCTAACCGTTTTCTATTAAACTATATAATACATATTATGCATTTCAGATTGCTCAATTTAAATCATGTACATTACAAACCTTGTTTCCCTGTCGACTGTAGCTAGAACCATTCGTTTTTGTACAATTTAACCATGTTTTTCTCTCCCTTTTCTCCGTTAGCATTAGTTTTCCGTTTTCTTCCGTCTTTTTTGTACATCAAGTTGGTTACCGTTACATCGTTCACTTCCGGTCACACAGGAAGTTACCAAAATAAAGGCACAAACGTTATATTACGTGAATATGAGCTAGCTTTACATATCCGCCGCTACATATGCTTTCATGTCGTTTCAGCAGAAATCCAGACTCATGAGATCAGGCAACATTTGTCCAACCTTTTATTGTTCACTTCGGTGAGCCTTTGCAAACTGCTCTTAGCTGACAGGATTAGCACTTGGTGTGGTCTTCTGCTGCTGTGGCCCAGGTCCAGTGTATGATGCATTCATAGATGCTCTTCTGCACACTTTGGTTGTAATGAGTCGTTGTTTGAGTTACTGTTCCCCTCCTCTGAGCTGTCTCCTCTGGGAAAGACAAAGCTTTTTTTTTTTTGGGGGGGGGGGGTTTAGGGACTAAGTAAAGCGCTTTACAAATACAGGCCATTTACCATATTTACAATTCACTTGGATAAATGACAAATAGAAAAAGGGCATGGGCGATGCCCGAAGCACCTCATGGCTTTGACTGATCTCCTCGTCTTATCTCTAAGGCTGAGCCCCGACACAAGAAGCTCAATCTCGGTGATTGGATTCTTTCCGGTGCATTCACCTAAGCACACAGCTTTCTTGTCACCACAAAAGACAGACACATAAATTCACTCATGCTCATACATTTGCATAAAAGTCATGGATGGAATTGTTTCCTAGATTTTCTCGAACACCGATGGGGATTCAGCGCAGTGTGTGAAATTAAAGCTGGGATTGAGCAGTCTGAATGTTGACGCTCTGAGGTCAGGGACAACTCTAACCCTAACCCCAGGAAATCAGCAGGCTTTGTGTTTATTGAAAGGCAAAGTCTCGGCAGACCTGGAACAAAGACATGATCGCTTTGCTGACACGCAGCAAAAGCTAATCACATATTTCCCACAACATCAATTTTGTTGTTTTTTTTTTAAAGTGTAGTGTTTGGTTAGTGCGAGGGTCAGGATCACCGCCTTCAGTACGCTGATGTAGACCTCAGAGGGTTATCGATTCCTCCTGTGACTGAGGAAGTAGAGCAGGTCATCTACTACACCAAAGGTCAATTATTGGAGCTGAGCCTCATCCAATCCTTAATGGGCAAGGTAATGTACCAAACCCCCGATGCATCTCTCAGATTGTGAGTGTGCATGTGTGTGTGAGGGTTAGTTAGAAAGGTCTTAAAGGGATCGAATGATGCATCGTGGGTATGGGAGCATGTGGCTTGTTGTGAAAACCCCTGAGTTTGTAGGAAAAACCTGTATAAGTAATACCAGTGAGTACTCAAACATGTGCTGGGTGCAAACACACAGAGGTGCCTGGTGGTGTAACTTCAGGTACATTTTTAATATCATTATTTTTGGTGGTGGACGTGTGGATTTTGATTCATGTTAGAGAGAATGCTCTTTTTGCAGAATCTCATAAACCCATGTTATTTACAACAGAACATAGAAACCATCAAATGGTTCAATTGAGAAAATGAAGCATTTTGAGTCATTTTGTTTTTGATGGTAATAACACAAAACAGCTAAAGATGCTCACACGGAGCCATGGTTACCACAGTCTAACATCTCCCATCTTTGAAACATGTTTGGGAACTTAAGGGACAGTTGCTGCAGGAAAACGAGTGTTGACCCATTCTTGTTGGATAGAGGATCCTAATAAAATAAGATGTCCGTCTCACAGGAAGTAACAAAGGTCAAACCGACCATTAGGGCTAATTTACCGCTACAGAGTAGCCGACGATCTGGCGAAGAGTGAAGGTCTGAGCTGCTCCTTAAGTACTGCCGATGAGCTGCAGGTGAGGAGAGGCAGGCGAGGTAGACAGGAAGTAGGAAAAACACACCTTACACACTGACGGACAGCCTGGACCATGATATTGTAACTGAGTAACTGAGCGGGGAAGCCTAGTCAGGGCTGATATGGAGAAACGTTCATGTTTTACTTGGAAGTGTTAGTTGTCCTTTGAGCTGGAAACATGAAATCAATTTGAATGTCTTACTGAGTAATGAAGAGACGCTCTCTGGCTCGCGTTCTGCATGAAAACGTGTGAGAAGTAGACTGTCAACATCTTGGCTTGTTAAAAAAAGTGACAAATAATTCTGAACAATTTAATTAATTGTTTCCCCTCGCTCAAGTTCGGAGGCACCTGTTTGATGTGTAGCTGCTGAATCCACTCTGATGTTCTCCTCTGCTCTCAGCAATAACTGCCTGGTGCTTTGTTCCTGCTTTTCAACAGCTATTATTCCTTGAAATGATCCTGCAGCTGTATTGTGTTAGACATGGCTTCATATCTGCAGTACTTTCTGTTCCTTCCTGCTCAGGTCTTTGTATTCACTCTCACACCACAGTCATCCTGGTACTTTGAGCCGTCTTTAGTCTCCTACTTAACTGGTTACATTGTAACTAGTTCTTACCTAGTCTCGTCTGCTACCTCTTTCTTCAGCTGAAGGATGGGTGGAGTTATGAAGAGTCATTGGAGGTGTCCAAATTCATGGGCTGCATCCTCCTGAGGCCACATTTGTAGGTCGATTACATCACAGTGACGCGATGAAGGCGGTCCAAATTTGCATCCTCCTTTTCCCCAGATTTGAAGGATGGGTCGGGTGTATCCCTCGTGTGATTCATAGCGTGGCTCAGACGGCCAATTCCAGTTTCCAACAATGGCGGCAGCTACTTAGTTTTAATATTACTCTTATTACTCTTTCTGGGTCACAGAATAAACTTTTAAGATATTTTCAAGTGAAAATGTTGCTGTGTAAACTTCAAATCACATATTTGTAAAAGTGCTCAGACGTTTTCGGAGACGTCTGTTACCCACCAGCTCGATAGCTAGCCGGGGGTTCAAGGCTCACTAGAGCCGGCGAGAACGGCGAAGTCCCGGCAAATCGTTTTCAAACCCCAGCGGTCTTTCACTACTCAGGTTAAACATGATACATAAGTCACTTAGATAACTTAAAAATGTTATTGGCTAGACCGTCCAATTTCACAGCCTCTCACTTCTGGCCTACCTGGCCTTCGGAGGACCCGGCCCACGTAGACCGCGAAGGCCGGGTCCTCAGGAAGATGCAGCCTCTGAATTTGGACACGGCTATTGTACCAGGGACTCTGACAAGGAAAAGAGATGAGACTGGAGAGAACACAAAGAAACTGCACTAATATGTAGACTTACCAGTTAACTACAAAGCCCTTATTTTAACCGTCTAACATGGCTTATGTTCCCTGCTGATGGATGGTCATGGTTACAGTGGTCTTTGATGTTGTTGTCTTGGACTGCAGTTGGTGGAGACGAGAAGGGGGCCACTCTAACCATCAACCACGTGGTGCTTCGCTAGGCACTCGGAGGCTAATGAACAGAACAAGGAGTACAGGCTCCAGCTGCAGTCCAACATGTTGGAGTTGGCGTCTTTCAATGTGACGGGAGACTCGCTGGAGAGACAAACGATTGTACTAATCTATTAATTATTAGAAGTTAGGCAATTTACAGAAAAGGCATTTCATAAAATGAGATGTTTGCAACACTTTTAAAGTGCGCTTGTGTCTTGTGTATAAACGGAATCTGTGAGAAATGCTGAGCTTACACCTCAGGCTACAGCTGAGTGCTTATCTTCATAACTGGTTATCTGTTCTTGAAGCCAGCTTCACCACACCGCCTGAAATTCAAGAAGTACGATGTTCAAAGAAAAACGATGGAATATTCCATGGTGATCCTTCCATATAAAGATTTACAGTTTAACAACAACAGTGTTGAAATGAAACTACTGATTTGTGCTCCTGGACTTTTGTGGCTTTCCCTCCCATTTATCTCACTGTCTGTCTTTCTGTTTAATGCACTTAAAGATCCTGCTGTATTCTGTTATTTCAGTCTGCCACAGCTATGATCAGCAGCTTGAAAAGTAAGAAGAACTGTTGGCCCGGTTTTAGGAATTGCTGTTTATGATTGCGTGCTGATCTCGCAAATAAAAACAGTCGATTTATTTTAACCCTCATCTAACATGCAGGCTCATTTCACACCTCTAAATCGATAAACTAGGAGTGCAACAGGGTAACATGTGCTACTTTTTGTTTTTACCAAGCAGGTCATAAAAAAGTGAAGTACATGAGGGCAGATGAGAAGGGACATTGCAAAAGGACAGACTTGGTGCTATGGGGGGAGGGGGGGGGGGGTTGATGAATATTTCTGGGAAAAGATTACTGGCTCACATCAGTTTTGAACTGGCTGGAGGAAGACCAGAGCAGCAGCCGCTGTGAGAGCCTCCAGAGTAAAAAAGCAGCAGCCAGTGTGGCAGTTATGAGGTATTGACAGAATATTTATACTGCAGTGAAATATTCGATTAAGCGATTCCCTGCTGACAGATGCTGACTGAGGAATAAGCACTTTTCTTCGTACACGTCCTAATCACTTTGTCCTCCTTCCAGGTCATGGGCTACTGGTACTTTGGTTCCACCTGGTGCTCCTTCTACCTGGCTCTGGACGTCCTCTTTTGCACTTCCTCCATCGTCCACCTGTGTGCCATCAGCCTTGACCGATACTGGTCCGTCACCAAAGCGGTGAGCTACAACCGCAAACGTACTCCCCGGCGGATCAAAACGATGATCAGCATCGTGTGGCTCATATCTATTGTCATCTCGTCCCCACCGCTGCTAATGACCCACAAAGAGGATCTGGGCACGTACCATGAGGATAACATGCACACACAGGAGTGTCTCCTCAACAACCAGACATGGTACATCCTCTCCTCCTGCCTGGTGTCCTTCTTCGCCCCGGGAGTCATCATGATACTCGTTTACTGTAAGATATACCGCGTTGCTAAGCAGCGGGCCTCCACCGTGTTCGTGGCGAAGAACATGATGGAGCGGCAGCCGTCGCAGTCCGAGACGTGCTTCGTGGGCACGTCCAGGGTTTGCCAAAGGAAGGGCTGTCCTCAGTACGAGCTGGACAGCCCGCGGCCCCCCGCCCGACACAGTTCTTCCAACATCGACAGCAACAGCAGCACTCACAGGAGAGGAGAGCTGGATGAGATCGACTTAGAGGAACGGAGCTGCCAAGGTGAAATAAAAACATCCTTGTCCTTTTCCTCATCGCTCCGCTTCCCCAGGAGAGGCGGTGGGAGGGTGAAAACAGATGAGGGAAAGGACGCGGAGGGAGCAGCAAACAGTTTGAAACCCCCTCCTTCTGTGCCCCCTCCTTCCTGTGCCTCCATATCGTGGGCATCATCGGACCACGGCTCCAACCATTTCCTTCTCCCGTCTCCGGTGCCCGTCCGCAGCAGACACGCGTCTCTATCCAAAAACAAAGTGGCTCAAATGAGGGAGAAGCGCTTCACATTTGTCCTGGCAGTGGTGATGGGCGTATTTGTCCTCTGCTGGTTCCCGTTTTTCTTCACTTACAGCCTCCACGCTGTCTGCAGGGAGAACTGCATCATCCCTGACACGCTCTTCAACCTCTTCTTCTGGATCGGGTACTGCAACAGCTGCCTGAACCCCATCATCTACACCATTTTTAACCGAGACTTCAGAAGGGCCTTCAAGAAGATTTTATTCCAGACTCATAAACGAACCTAAGATGTCTGAGCGTGTGTGTGTGAGCGCACACACTGACACGCATTAAAACGCAACTGTGGACACGCAGTTTTAACCCTGTTTTCCACTGTGCTGTCATATCGACATTAAAGGGCTTGTCATACAGCCGGAGCATTGATTCATTATTCAACCACTCGCTAATTTATTAAATCATCACTTTCTATTCTAGTGTAAACCCACAGAGGAAGATGATTACAGGCAGGTGTTTCTGCCTCCTTGATGCAATAACAGTTCAACATTACAACCTGGATTGTGCCTGAACTTGAATGTTAATTAGAGGAAAACGTCCACGGGGCAGCGAACAACGTCCCCGTGGTTCATTCATGTCTGTAGCAAGCAGGCAAACTGCCTCTGCAATCTTGTTATTGACCGAAAAAAGGCTTTAAGGAATGTGAGGGGTAGAACAAACCACTGCGCTTTGAATAACACACACAGTGTTTTTAATGGATTTCTGTGCCTGAGAGTAATTAAACACCACTGGCACAAAGTTTAAACTTTAACTTTAGGTGGAGACAGAAAAAGCTGTAAGAAATGTGCCAGTTTTTCATGCAGCAACAGTGTTCTGTTGACACTATACAGCTTGGGGGCAAAGGCATTAAAATGCATGCACAGCTACAGTAGCAGACGGGCTGAACAGAAAGAGAGAGAAAGAAAAGGCAGAGCTTAACTATACCCAAGACTCTAACCACTAAAAATAATCAACCTCAGGCTCATTCAGCATTGGATAATTATCCTCTGACGTTTAAGATGGAAGATCAGGACTGCTGGCGATGTAACTCAGCTTTTACCTTTCTACTGTATTTGGTAAGGAGCCCGAAGGGGCCGACGTTAAGCTAAGCTGCAGATAACTGGACAGACAGTGCAGTTAATCAGGCGCTACCACGGTTTGTGCAAAAAAAAAACGTCATAAATGACTTTTCAGTTAAGATAAAACAGATTATAATCAAGTCTGATATATCTTTTCAAGCATTAAGCACAGACACAGGTGTTGGTAGTGCAACTGTGAGTAATCATACGCAAAAATTGCTCCAGTTGCTATGCAACATCATTCTTGACAATAACTTTAAAGTTATGTAAGAACCTCATCCCTAACAAAATCTAAAAGGAAGCAGGATGGTCCAAAACGAAGAGCTGCTTTAGATCAAACATATTCATTCGTGAGAGGCTGGGTGAAAAATGAAGAGTCTGCATTATCATACGATATATGCCACAAGGGGGTGTGCCAAAATACACAGCAGCTGGAGGAGCCACAACTGATATATCCATGTACAGGTTGGAACAGCAGGCATAACAGAAAGTCTCTCTTAGAGTACCAATCCAGATCAGCTTTGTATTTGGTGAGCCACATAACACACAAACATGTCTGGATATGCAGATGACTACACGGTCACGAGTGTTCTCGGGCATTCATAGGATTGTAAGCAAACAGCCTGCACTTACATGCCAAAAAATATTTTTTAAAATTAAATAAAATAGATGCACATACACAGTATGACGTGTAAGGAGCTGCCACCAAGGTGCTTCCCTGCCACGTGGAGCAACTTGGCTCTTAGTGTCTTGGTCACAAACACTTTGGCACATGTAGGGCCGGCGTATTCAACCACTGCACCCCGCTCACATATAAGATGGACATATCTGCCAGTGCCATAAACTGCAATTCTTTTTACTGGATTCCTCTTGTTGCAGAAAGACTTCCAGTTGCATTGACTTCTATGAAAAATAACATAAATTCCATTTTGTGCATTATGATCAAAGCCCCTTTTGGTCATTGTCCACAGCTCGTTTGTGTCCACTTAACTGCGGACATGCACTCTCCTCAGTTGTCAACAAGAGCTTGAAATACTTAACTTCTTTCCATTTGGGGCAACGACTCATCCTCCTTTTAAGCACTTTCAAGTCTGAGAACCGTGGAAGTGCTAATTCTCATTTCTGCCACATTCAAAAAAGAAGTACCCCAGCGTGAGCTGGAGGACACCACCTGATCACATCATCCACAAAAAGCAGCAATGAGACCCTGAAGCAAAGATCATCCCCAGGAGACTCTGGGTCGGGCAGCCCAGGGAGCTGGCCCATATGTCAACTATCACAGGGCAAGTAGCTGAATGGACCCTGGATATTTCTAGAGTCTATCGCACAGCTGGGAAAAAATATGCTTACTTTAAAACATAGTTGTGGATGCAGCTTCCTGCTCAAGAATGTAGGAAATGTGACGTACGAGCAAGCTTAATGGAGGGTTGGAAATGTGTTGGTCAATACTGTGTTTTTAAATAGAGAGGAAACAAGGTATGTGTCATTAATCAATGCGTCTTTTGCCCTTACCATCTTACGGCCAAATAAGAATAATGATTCTTTTTCCTCCAGCAAAACTCAGCTATAAATAGATAAAACAGAACGTTTCGAAATCTAGCAGCTCATTTATTTATAGGCTCACAGATCACAGTGAAGCACATGGAGACGAGGTCCTGGGCCCAGCCTGAAGGTTCGTGCTGTTGTGTCCCAGTGAAGCAACATGTCCACAGCACTTTTCATACTAAGCTGTCACTCACTGTGTGGGTGTAATTGAGCAGCTACAAGCCAGAACGAAAATAATGTACCATTAAAAATAAACTATGAATCAAAATGAGGATGTTTTTGTAGCAACTTTTAATCAAACGGCAATAAAATCTCACTTTAGTATGTGAGCATCACATGCAATATGAAGTAAATATGGTGGATAATGTGGTGAAGTGAGCCTCCTTCCTGTCTACTCATAAATTAGATCAAGGCCACATGTATATCTGTGAGTCGGCAAACACCAGAAGATCACACGCAGAGGAACACGTTTCAATGCTCTCATCCCTCTGCCTCAGCTTTTACCGTAGCATGAAAGCCAGACTTCCACTATCATCTGTCCCTCTGTGGGAATGTAGCTCTCGTTGAACACCAGGAAAGGGAACTTTCCGTGGTCCTTAAACTTAACGGAACAAACAAACAGAGGAAAGGATTTAAGGGGTGAGTACTCTCTGCATGCTCAACAGTACAGTGCAAACTCACGCTGGTCTTCTCACAGGGCCCATTTGGATACATTGTATCGTATTAATGCACCGTGACACTGCTGATGTGTCCATGTGCATGCTGTGAGGAACAGTTTCAGAGGGGACTATCCTATGATTTCCTCTATTATATCACAGCATGGCAGCAACCCCAACATATTTCCAGGCCAACTGAAGGACATGACCTCAGTAAGTTATATCGAAACGCCTCACCTGTCCTTATCAGCATTCCAGTTGTGCCTATTTCACCTCTCTGTAGCTCTACTGTGGCATTCTGCTTATGGCTTATTTTAATGATACAGCGGAGACTCATTTCCAATAGGCCAGACCATTTGCTGCATCTCATTCCCCTTCTCTCTTTCACAATTTTCCAAATCTCATTACCAAGCTACACTGTAAGTTCTGGTCACATCTCAACATTTGATTGATTGAGAGCGGACATGACTCGACAGGACGTTTACATTCAACCTAAAAAGGGGGGACGCCGTGATCAGAAGCACGCAGGAGGACAAAGTACTTTGACTTCAAACATAATCCACTATCCCGAGCGAAGCCGAAAGAGGCTGTAGTGCTACAGCGTTACAAAAGCGTAGCGTCTGCTTCACAAAGACCAGCTCTGTGTCCCTGGGCCTTTGGTGCACAATCAAATAAACAAAGGCATTATTTTTGTTTGTGATGTGAAACAAATAATTAAATGAAAAAGGAAAAGAAATAAATGCATCGAGCACAAACGAGCAGGATGCTATAGATTATTAATTGTAGTTTTGTATGTGAATAGCGAGCCTGTGAGATTCCAGTATAATAGACAAAGAGACGAGCTGCAATTATTTAAGCAAAGAAGAAAGTGCAGCGAGTCCCTTAATGTGAAAATAGTCGCATGTGTTTTACAAAGCTGTGGTAAAGTGCAGCCTGCAGAATTATCTGAAGGACGAGACAAAATCCTAACATGGATCAAACAGATGTGACTCTAAGGAAATCCAAGACATTCATAATTTGATTAAATTGTTTTCTCATCAGTGAGTGGAGCACTGGTGAAGCATCCAATGCATTCGCTCAAACCATGTGACAGCTGAAGTCAGAGTGTGATATTGTAAAAAAGTGTTTTTCAAGCTAAAACTAAGGCTTTTCTAAGGACAGATCATTTCATGTACTGATACATTTATTGTGTTTTTCCAGAAACAAATTTGAATTTTTCACTCCAATTTTAACATATAAAATATTAAATGCATCCATTATCAGACTACTGAAGATGTTGGACACAAGTTATTGTGCTTTGCAGCCTTACAGTTTGTGAAGAAGACCAAACGGGAGCCGTGTAAATGTGAGTGAAGTGCATCTAAATTATACTTAAGTAACTGTACGTGGCTACTTTCCCCCTCTGCTGGCCTGACAACACAGTGAAAAAAAACTTCCCTAAAAGCTGATTTGAATAATTTCATTACATGTAAATCTTCCATGTCACTTTGTTACATAGTTACAGTGTGAGATATAAGAGTTTATGGAGAGCTGGTCCAATAAATGTGCATGATTACTATACAGTCAGTTTATCCCAAGAGCATTTTCTTTAATGTTTCATTACCTGAATAAATCAACCTTTGATTTTGTTTCTTGAGCACAAAGAATATTTTTTCAGTGCGTCAGCAGCTGGAGGAGACTGACCAATCAAAGAGCAGATGGGCGTGTCCTACAAATGAAGGTAAGTGACACTTGGGCTGTGAATAGACTGGTGCTTATCCTCCCGCTCAAAACATTTTGTACAACTTGCCTCATTCCAACAGTGCTCATATCCTGCCAATATAAATGCAGGAAAGCAGCTGTATGGTTACAGCGATGTTGTGTGTGGGTGACACGCTCCTTTCCTGCACTTTAATTAGGAGGTACATACGCTATATGGTGATGTAATCACTTAGAGCTTTAAGTTGCCTAATGACCTCATCGTTTCAAAAAGAAAAATCATTTTAGGAAAGAAAAACCACACAAAGCACC